ATCAGCTTGTGGCCCTCAGTCTTCGATGCGACGAGTCCGCTGTGATAGAGTACCGCGCCAAGGTTCTGACCATAAACAAGCGATCTCGGCAGAGAAATCCTAACGCTGTCAGGGTTCTCATACGTAGCGTGAGGAGCCATCTTATTCAGCTGGTTACTCTTGAAATTGCTGGGATGACTCGGATTTTTCGCTTGTGGATTATTTGCTTGGGGTACGTCCTTCATCAGCGACGACAACGAGACACTCTTGTTGCCGACGGTATTTCGATGAAGGGTTGCTACCTCCTGGGCTGCTTTGGGCCCATGAGCCAGCTCTACGAACTCCGCAGCAAGAAGATGCTGTGCAAGCCTTTTTGAGGGCTCCTTCATGTGTTCTTCAACAACCTTGCGGATGGTCGATGTAGGTACAAAGGTAAAGAGCTTCAGGTAACGCTCGACGTCGCTGTCTGCGGTTTTGACAAAGTACTGCACCATAAGTCAGCTGGATCATCAACCGTAATCATGCAAATACATACTCCATATAGATCAAAGCTGGAGGTCATGGAAGGATCCATCCAGATGGCATTCCCGGCACTTTTCCCTATTTTCTCGCCTGAAGCCGTTTGGAGAAGTGGAACAGTCATTCCATGTGCGGTGAAGTGGTGTTCATCCTTTTCGTCCGCGGCGTGAATCTTAAGATGAAGAGCAGGGTCGCGTTCGTGCTTGCGAATGGTGTTCACGGCTTGAACGCCTGTAAGGATGTTTCCAAACTGGTCAGCGCCGCCAATCTGGAGCTGGACCTTGTTCCTCAGATACACCTCCCAAAAGTCCCAGGCCTGAAGGATTGGATATGAGAATTCGGCGAACGACATGCCCTCTCCACGCTCCTCGCGGATTTTGACCCTGTGCTTGGTTAGTAATGACCTCATGGGCGCGCATGACTAACTCACGTTTCTCGGCCAAGCATGGGACCAATTCGGAAGTGGGTGCCCAGTTTTCCCATTACCTCCACAACTGAGACTTTGTTGTGCCATGTATTGTTGTTGGTCAACACTCGTCTCCATGACCACTCTCGCTCGTAGCCGTATTTGCGGCCTATCATTTCGACGCTTTCCCACAACTTCTTGAGCTGGATGTGCATCAAAGCCATGTTGGTTTTCCTTTCATCAGAGGCTTGCTTTTTCCGCTCCGTGGTCCTGCCCTCTGGGTCTCCAATTTTGGCCGTAGCGCCACCAAGAAGTGTGACGGCTCCGAAGCCGTGCAAGTACATCCAGAATATGACCATGAATGGCAGCATATGCCCAACGTGCATAGAGGGAGCAGTCGGATCGACGCCGCAGTATGCGCCGATGCGCTTTTCGTTCATCAGTCGTTCGAGAATTTTCCGGTCACTGAGACAGCAGTGAATTAGCAGAGAAACTGCGAAGTAGGTGTGGTACCCACGCAGTGGTCTGGTGAACGTAGCCCCGCTCCTCAAGGAAATTCAAGAAGCTCTGCTTCTTTCCAGCCTCGATTTCCTTGCATTTTTCTTTCCATTCAAGTTCCGCCTCGAGGGTCTTGCGCAAATAATTTTGGGTAATCTGGCGGGCAAAGGCCGGTAAGACGCGCCCTTGTGACGCGCATTTTCTGCAGACATAGACCCCCGGACGGGATCCACGCTGGAGAAGTGCCCCAGAAGGCATTGGACGTGGCAGACAGGTTTGGGAAGAAGAGTGTTGGAAAAGCAATGGAGGCAACGCGACGGCGGACCTACCAAGCACTAGCTGCTGGGCGGTGAGCGTCGGAGTGTGCGAGCCGAATCCCGACGGTCCGCCTCCGTCCCTGACCCTTGCCCCGCATCTCTTGCATCACCAAACGACCGCTGCCAAACAGTTGGGCGTCAAGAGCCTCAACCGTCCACCCGTTTCCTACATCGCACTCTCTTCCCAAAAACATATTGTGCCGCTGAATATCTCAAGTCTCATCTTTTGCCTCGTGATAATCCTACACCTTCATCATGTTTGCAAACCTCGTCTGCTCGCCTCCGCTCGGCCAAACAACAGTCCTAGCCCCGGGCACCCAATCAGTCCATTTTACTGCATTGCTTGAATCGGATCCGGCCTCGCATCGTGATTGGGAAGTCGCACTATGGCACAACTTCAATCAGGAGTGGAAAAAGCTCGTTCTTGAAAAGCATGAGAGGCCGCTGTCGACGGTATTCTTCTTCTGCAATAGCCGCTCACCAGCATCTCTAACAACAACCAGCTGGTCGTCAATCGCCCCGACTCATGTAACATTCGCCGCCACTGGTTCTCTGCGAAGCTCAAAGGGCGGCGCGACCGCCCAGTGTCTTTCACCATCACCTTCAGGAGTGGCCCGACAGAGCCATGGAAGTGGGCGAATGAGCAGTTCTCTTTCTCGGACGGCCACCTGGTCTTTCAAAACTCATCCCTCAAAAGTCATTCTTTGAACCAATATCTCAGTAATATCAGTGACAGCCTCCAAATTGATCAGGAAGCAAGCCAGACCTCGAACACCTTGCTCTGGACAGCCACTGGGAAGGCACCACCCGCGTCTGGAGATCGCTCGGGATGGCGTACCTTTACCCTTGGAAAACCGACAGACGTGAGGAAATGGTTTGCACTGGTCCGCCTCTGGAGCCCCTGGCTTGCCCCGCGCCACGGCAAGGGCGATTTTGCTCCAGACAAAGAGGCAGTCCTCGCCTCGTTCCAGCGCGATGATGGTGACCATGTTGTTGTGCTGGCTGTCAGCGGAATCAACAATGTCCTTACTGAGCTTGTTCATGATGGCCAAGGCAACGTTGTTATCCGCGCTCGCAACGATGGTACAGATGAAGAGGAGTCGACCGTTATCGTTTGTGTCGCCAAAGAGTTTGAACTGGCCAACTCTGCCGTCATGTATCACGCTCGCCGCATGGTGATGAAATGGGACAATGTGTACAACGACCTCGAAGCCGAGCTGCGAGAGTTGAAGAGCAAAGAAATCAAACCAGAGTGGCTGGAACACTGGTACGACGGACTGACCTACTGTACATGGAACGGCCTTGGTCAAAATCTTACCGAAGATGCGATTTTTAAAGCCCTCGAGTCTTTGGAAAAGAATGATATTACCATTACAAACCTGATCATTGACGACAACTGGCAGTCTCTGGACAATGAGGGCGCAGGACAGTTCCAACGCGGCTGGATGGAGTTTGAAGCAAACAAGCAAGGATTTCCGCAGGGCCTCGCCTATACCACCTCTGAGATCCGCAAGCGATTCAAGAACATTTCTCACATTTCCGTATGGCACGCGATTCTGGGCTACTGGGGCGGCATATCCCCTGACGGCTCGATTGCCAAAACCTACAAGACCATCGAGGTGCAAAAGAAGGATGGCGTCGCCGGCGGTAAAATGCTAGTTGTTGACGAGGAAGACGTGCCGCGCATGTACAAGGACTTTTACTCATTCCTTCAAGTCTCAGGAATCGACTCTGTCAAGACCGATGCCCAATTCTTCCTGGACGAGCTTGATGAAGCCATCCCACGAAGACGTCTGATCCAGACGTACCAAGATGTGTGGACGATCAGCATCCTTCGTTTCTTCGCCGGCAAAGCAATTTCTTGCATGTCACAGGTGCCCCAAATCCTGTTCCATTCGCAGCTTCCCACAAATCAGCCGCGCATCATGGTCCGCAACTCCGACGACTTTTTCCCGGAGGTGCCTGCGTCGCACCCGTGGCATGTCTACTGCAACGCGCACAACTCGCTCTTGACGCAGTACCTGAACGTGCTTCCCGACTGGGACATGTTTCAAACCTCTCACCCCTGGGCGTCTTTCCATGCAGCAGCACGTTGCGTTTCGGGCGGTCCAATCTACATTACAGATGTACCGGGCCAGCACAACATTGACCTGATCCACCAAATGACAGCAAAGACTCCCCGAGGGTCAACAGTCATTCTGCGCCCCAGTCGCATTGGAAAGACCATTGATGCCTACATCGGCTACGACCAGCCAAACCTCCTCAAAATCGGCACGTACATTGGCATGCAAAGCACCGGCACCAGCATCCTGGGTGTCTTCAACACAACGCAGAGACATCTGACCGAACTCCTCTCGCTCGATCATTTCCCAGGCACGGAGAAGGGACACTACGTCGTCAGGGCCCACACGACAGGCCAAGTCAGCGCACCTATCAAGAGAGGCCAAGAATCAGCATTCGTGCACCTCGACCTCCCAGTCCAAGAGTGGGAAATCCTGTCGGCGACTCCAGTGCACTCTCACGACATCAAGACCGGCTCCGTCAAGCTTGCTGTTCTCGGTCTCCAAGGCAAAATGACCGGCGCCGCCGCCATCGTCAACTACGACGTGTACGTGGAGAGCGAAGGCGCCCATCACCTGCGCATCTGGACCAGCCTGAAAGCGCTCGGAACTTACGGCATCTGGATCGAAGACTTGGAGAAGATGGACATCGAGAACCGCTTCATCGCGCTGATTTTTGGCAAGCCGGTCGCGATGCACTGTGTCAAGGTCAAGAATAGCGTGTTGGAGATTGACTTGGTCAGGGCCTGGGAGGAAAGTGACCAGCGGGCTGGTTGGAGCAATGAGGTTGCTATTGAGGTCATTATTCGCTGAGGTGGGCAAGAGTAGGTCGGTGGCCAGAAAAAGGAAACGATGCTAGTTCGGTTTGCCCTGAAGTAACCCCTATCTGACTCTCCTTGATCGCATGTTCCTATTGTCATTCGTCAAAAAGTCTTTCCTGTGCACAGGCTGGCAGCATTGCGTTTAACCTAAGTATGCAAAAATAAAATGTCATTGTTGACCAAGAGCACGAGGCGAATCAACTGAACCGGCGCGTGCCCAAGTCTTATCCAATTTTTCCGTCTTTGGGTTTTGTGATGAGATTAGGGGGAAGATCGGTCGCAAACCAGCCCCTACTAGCAGTCAAGAAAAGGCAAGCACGAATGTCGCAAATGATCGGTATAAATACGCGTGCGACCGGTACCACAGCACACAGCGACGCAGCAAGCAAACGTTTATGAAGGGTCGGTGGTGTAGTGGTAACATGCTCCGCGGCAACAGTCTTTCCCGCGGTCCGTCCCAGGTTCGATTCCTGGCTGACCTGCTGCTAGTTGGAAACTTTTTGGCGGCTCTTCTTTTTTGCTATTGCTGGTTGTGGTGTTGTGAAGTGTGGTAGCGAGCATGTTGTTGTCGTGCCGACGGGAGCCCGGACCCCCTGAGTCCGTCTGTCTTTGCGGATTGGCAGACTAAGTTCAACAAAAGAAACTAGATGGTGATGCAGAAGATTTGATCAAGATATTTTGTGGTATTCACCAAAGGTAAATCTATCAAATACCGCACTCGGCGCTATGATCATTCAAACTGATACGCGACACCGTACTTCTCCGAAGCGATCCTGGCTCCGATGGCCCCAGAACCTGAAGAAATCATTGCACCGAGATGGGTTGCTGCCATAGCAGGTATGTGTGGATCGATGACCCCGCGAGAGCGTTTCTTGTTCAGAAACGGATTCGGGAACTTGTCCTCGTCCACGACGACGGACTTGAAGATGTAGCCCGTCATTCGTGGGAGGTGGACCACAGACTTGATGTAGTCGAAGCCAAACATCTCCTTGAGCAAGTCGTCCTCGGTACTCTTGATGCGTTCAAAGAGTTGCCAGCAAAAGCGGTGCAGGATGAGGTAGTCGTATGTGATTTCCATAAACTCTCCCTGAAGCGTAGGGCCCAGCTGCTTGAGCAGCTGCGGAATGGGTAGCTTTTGCAGACGCTCAGCCCGTGACGGGTCTCGCAGAGAACGAGCCCCTTCGCGACCAACTGGCCGTGAGATGTCGGCCCGCTTGATGGTCCCGAATGGTGTTTCCTGCTCTTCTGGTTCAGACGACCAGTCTTCTTCCCAGGTCACCGTCGTTTCCATGATCTTCTTCAGCTCGTCGGGGGTGAAGTCGACGCGCCGGGATTCGGTGCAGAAGCGGTGCTTCCAGACTCGCATCAAGTTGGCTTTTTCTTTCAATGTCTTTGCGCCGGCTCCAGAGCGCTGGTAGCCGCTGCCGCCGCGACTGTCCTTTGCAAAGTTGGACACTGACACACCCATGTCGATGAGGTAGCGCCGCAAAAAAGTTTCGAAAACTGGGACATCGTCTGTGATCGGTCCGTGGTCTTCTTCTTGGCACATCATGGCTGCTTCCATGTCGGTCCAGACGCCTTCTAGCATCTTGTTCTTCCGGAAAGCCACATATAGATGCTTTGCGCTGACGACTGCGCCAAAAGCATTGGAAATCTTAATACCGAGCTCCTGGAATTTGGCTTGAACACTGTAAATGCAAAGGCCACTTAGCACTGGGTTGTTGACCAGGAGGTATTTCTTCCCCGGCAGAGGCCGGCCAAGTCGAAGGCACGTCTGCTCTACTGGGTCGTCTATGAAGTTGTCGTCAATCCATTGAATCAAGTCTCTGAGCACCCCATCGTTTTCTCTTGTCCAATTTTCCGAGTAAAGATTCCTTTCTGCATGAAATTTGAGGTTCATGCTTAGAGACGACTTCACGACATTTAAAGCGTATGCCAATTGACCTGATCCCCGGGTTACGATCTCCCGTAGGCAGTGATGGAGGTCGAGAAAGACTTGGAGAGAAAGGACATTCCATAGTGAGATTTTCTGAGTTTTGAAGACCATCCTCAGACCGCGGGTTAGTTCATCTTCAACGAGAGCGCCGTTCGGGTGTGTTTCCAAGCAGAAGACAGCGAGAGTTGGGAGAAACTGCATCAAGAGGCTCTTGTCTTCCTGATACTTCGCTCTGGCACTTTTGGATCCTCTGTCGCTCTTAGGGTCATACCGGCCATAGTCTCTGGGCCCATTGATCGGGATGTTACCAGACCTCACTTCCTTGCTGAAGGAGTCAAGAAGCTGGTAGGCTGGTATCATTAAATCCTCAGCCTCCTCATAAACTTTGAAATTCAGGTCGTCTGTCGGTCTCTCTCGACGGTCGGGGTCTTGTCTTTTGTTTCGGCAAGTATCATTCCAGATCTTTTCAAGCATCTTGGCAGCACCTCCATGCTTCTTCAACACGTCGGACATGTCCTGCTCCAGCTGTCGTGCGAAATCAATAGCTGTGTTGGAGACCAGCGCTGCTGACAAAGCATGATAGTAGCCAATCTTGAACTCTCCCCAGATATCTTCCTGAAGTGCTTTGCGAATCTTACGGAAATCCTCAATCAACAATGAGAAAGCAAGATAAGCCTCTTGCTCTTCTTGCTGCTGTAAAGCCGCGAGGTCTGGGAGCGGACGTTTGGGAATGACGACATCTGGTGCCTCCTCAAACCTTTGTGAGGGCTCCTCGATGCTTAACCCAGAAAACATGTTGGCAAAATCGACCGTCACATTAATATCAGGCCTTGGCTCCTTCGTGGAGGTCGTCGCGAAGCTTGGACGAAGTACTTCTTTGACCCATTCCAGAACGCCGACGAAGTAAGAGTGACGGTCGTCAGAGTCCACATCCCGGGGTCGGCTGGCGACTACCGTTGTGCTGTGTCGCTTGCGCAGAGAAATTGCCCGATCGAGTGACTCGGCAAAGTAGCGAGGTACTTTTAGGGTCGGCTTTTTCTTGGCGGCGATGAAGTCGGCAAGACTCATGAAATCTTGAACCGAAGAAAAGACGTACGTTTTCGGAGAGGGAGTGGTTGTGGTTGGAGTGGCAACTCCAGGAGCTTTGATCGAACCATTGGCGGTCGAGTTTTCCGAGGCTGGGGCATCTACCTGGGCCTGGGAGTTGCCTTCACTGGAGCCGCAGGCATTTGAGGCGCCAATGTTGGACTCTGCCGTCTCTGCCTTTTTCTTTTTCGCCTTGCTTTTCTTTTTCTTCGCGCGCGGTGCTTGGGCTGCTTCCACGGGGAGCAGGTCCTCGGGGTACCCACACTGGCGGGCGGTGCTCGCGAGCCATGAGGCAACCGTATTAGTGTCTTCTTTGTATTGCTGGTAGTCAGAAGTGAAGAACCTCAGACCGGGAGCAGACATCTTGATAGATTGCTGTGAATTTGCGGATGTTTGAGGACAGCAGAGTGCCTAGGTGTCAAGATGAGAAGATCGCTCTGACTCGTGGACGGGTTGGACTGGTTCTGGATGTCGGACCGTAGAGTAGTCCGTGCTCTCACCCAAACCACCCGACGAGCGAGAGCTGCCCGACAGTCTGATAGATTTGACCAAGAGGAAAGAGTGTATGATGGGCTGCTGTGGGTGGATTTACTCTCAAGTTTTGGTTGTCGCAAAGTTTGCTTCGTGGTTACGAAAGAAGCGAAGAGTTGTGTCACCGCAGCGAACGGCGATCAACAACCATGCTTTGCAGGCAATAGGCAAAGAAGCGAGAAGCTGCATAAGAAGAACACGGCGATTCAGGCACACATATGAAGGAGAAAGTCTCGCATTATGTTTTACTTGCGCCAATGAGTTATCCAGGCCAGGATACCAGAGCGCGGTCGACAATGTCAGTCCCACAGCAGCAACATGACCAATGAGGCATAGCTGATTTGAACGAGTGAGATGAGAAAATTCTCGTGGGAAGCGTTTCCTGCACAAGTGTCCTGCGGCAATCTATGTCGCACTTCGATATTTTCTACTCGTCCTAGCCCGTCAGCTGTCGTTTGTGTTGCAAATCCGTGTAATTTCCCTTGGGCTCAGCTCCGCCAGCATGGTCTTTGCCGGTCACCGTCCTTCTGCCCACCTCAAATCTCTTTTGATGCCCTTCGTCATTGTCTCTATCGCCGAGCAGGGCTTGCCATTTAGTCCAGGACATCCGTCATGCGCCGTCCCAAAAACTTCATCTCCTCTGGGTGCCGACGATGAGTCTTAGCACTTGTATATCGGGCCTTTGTCCCGGGAGGCACCTTCTCTTGCAAGTCTGTCCGCATCGGTGTTGTATTCGCGGGGAACGTAAAAGAGACCAATCAGATAACCTCGATCTTCAAAATCACTTATGAGTTCGTCGAGCAATCGAAATTCTGATCCGTTCCCCACTGGACGACCGCTGGCATTGATGTATCCATTGGCCTGTTTCGAAAGTTGTCAGCGCTAATACCTGTTTGCAACTGCATTCGATCACATGCTGGGCGCATGAGATGCTACACTTGCCTTCCAGCGCGGTAGCCATTGGGTAATAGCATCGACAGCGTATTTACTATCAGTAGCGATGAGAAAGGCCTTGTTGGGTTCTTTATCCCAGCATTCACTGATGGGTTCTTCTTCCAACATTTGCACCGCTTTCAAAAGTCCTTCTTTAATCCCCCGAAGCTCCGCAACCTGGTTTGTTCTTCTGTTGTTTGGGTTCCGAGTGAAGTAGAACCAAAATTGGTTATCGGAAGATTCTCCCATGGCAACACCACAACCAGCTCGAGCATTGGGGTTTCCGTTGTCGAAGCACGCGCCATCTGTAAAAATGATTGGCACGTCATGAGAGAAGTCGTCTTCCGCGGGAGACTGCAGGAAAAAGCGACCGCAATTGTTGCAGGTTTCGATCATCTCATCGAAGTACCAATTGTACTCATCACAGAGGTTCAATGTCTGGCCGTTGATTGTGGCTCCATCTGGCGTTATCCAAGCGTCGTTGTACATTCCTGGTGTGGTGTGATGGTGAGTTGCAAGAACAAATTGCTGATGAGAAGCTTGGTGCCGGAGGTTTAATTGCGGTGTCGGGCAGGACGAGGTTGGTTGTTGGGCCGAATTCACACGGACTGACCAAGCCTTTGCAGCTGATGAGGCAAGAATGGGGTGGACCAGACTTGATTGATTGAGTAGGCGCGTAAGGCGTTTATATGAATGAGGTCAGTACGAAGAATCTCTGCTGAAGGCCAGAATCCATGAGAAGTAAACAAGGTGAGACAGTCGGCAGAGCGCAAGTGCGTGGATACTTCCACCTCTTTCAAAAAGTCTCTTATGTCCAATTACCAGCAAATTATCGACGACTATGGTGGTGGATGCCTGCGGGTTGTGATTGTGTTTGGACGCGTTGTTGAAAGATGGTGCAAAATGAAGTTGGAGTGGTTCGACATGCGGAAGGACGGTTGGGCTTGAGAGACGCTAAGCCGCTAACGAACCAGGGCGCCTAGATTTTCACCGCCT